TCAGTCATGAACCGAGGATGACTTTTGCCCCTATGCTGCTGCTCACAGCCGTGCACCTTCCCATATTAAAGATGGCCGCATGATGGTAGCCATCTTTACTAATGTCCGTTCTCATTTTCTGCTGGCAGCGTAACTTCCAGTCTGCGCGCGGAGGATTATTGGAGCTGTAGTTTCGCTTTTACAGAGCTGTGACAGCAGTGGGTGAGTGTGTCACGTAGAGGGTATTCATTCGGTTAGTTTTTATTACCGCTGTGTGTCCCGTGGTCTGTCCCAGTGTTCTATCATTCCATCTGACCTGTAACTTTAATCCGATCCGATAAAGTAATGGGTCCGATGGAATCATAGAACACCGTAACGTCACGGATGTCACAATACAGGGGAAGCCCCCTCCCGTGGACTGGCAGACCACGGGAGGGGACCCAGCAGCTTGCTGTGCCGCAGGTCCCCTTCTTGCAGCCTGAGCTGCAATAACCATGCATGGGACCTGGCTTAATCTCAAGTGTCAGGCCCCTGCCAGCAGGTAATTGAGGGGGACATAGAGATGGGTCTGGGTGCAGTGTGTGTGTGTGTGTGTGTGTGTAATGCTCTGTGCATTGTGCTGTGGCTGTATGTGTCATGTCCTATGCGTTGTGCTGTGGCTGTATGCAAGGCCGGCCTTAGGCCTTTAGGCGCCCTGTGCGAGAAAGCTTTACAGCGCCCCTCAGTGGCCACACCCTTTAGTGGCCACGCCCCCGTAACATTTAAATAAATAAAAGTCACATATAAAAAAGTAAAAATAAAAGTCACATATAAAAAAGTTTAAAAAAACCCCCAAAATGTTTATGTCCCACACCCCCACTTTACACACATATAAACGTAAATACGCGTTCCATGCGCCAGCGTGCGAAAATGACAATTGCGCTACACATGTTATATATGATCGCGAACGTCCCAGTGAGAGCAATCATTTTAGGGCCATCAATCACTGATAACACTAAACTGATGAGCGGTAAAAGCTTTTAAAGCGTTGCCTATGGCCAATTTTGGGTATTGTAGTTTTTTGAGGTTTCGCGCGCACACGCAATTTTAAGGCTTGACATATTTGGTGTCTATTTACCCGACGTGACCCCGTCTTTTATATTTTAGCAAAAACATTGGGTAATAATAAATGTTTTATCATTTAATATAGGGGAAACAGTTTTTTGGGGGGTTTTTCGGTAATTTTTCCTTAATATATTAAAAAATAAAAACCCCGGTGGTAATTAAATACCACCAAAAGAAAGTTCTACGTGTCCCTAAAAAATTGTATAAAATTAATTTCAGTACAGCGTTGCACGACGGAATAAATGTCAAAGTACCGCAGCGCTGAATACTGAAAAATGGCCTGGACAGGAAGGGGGTTTAACACTGCGGACTTCAAGTGGTTAAAATGCTTGATTTTCTGACCCTTTTATTTGCAATTTTCAGTTTGGTGACAGGGTCTCGTTAAAATTAATACATTTTTTCATCTCTGGCATGTCCCTGAATATGAACTTATATTCAGTTCTACTCATCTACTCATTAAAGTTCCCTGGCAATTTGAATGCAATACTATATTACAGATACACGTTTAGGGGTTCATTTTGAAATGTTTCATTTGCACAGTGTGCTGCCTTCGCAGATATATGGCAATGCACTTGCATTAATGTGTATTGTATTTGCCATAGTTAATATTTGGTATGCTGCCATCTTGTGGTTACTTTGTTTATTACATCCTCTGTGTTCAGTTCAGCCATTTTCTGCCCACATGTGCACATGAGGAGGAAGGCATTAACCTTTTTTGACCTACAAATACTGTCTATAACATCCTATTCTCTGCCAGTAACCTGCTGCATTCAATAGAGATCTTCGTGGAAGAAAGTTATTTGGTGAGTTCAGCTATCTGATAAAGACTGTACGCAGTGATTATACCTGCTATATACAGTCCAGGCATAGATGTCTCAGGAAGGAATAAATCACTTTCTCAACAATTGGAGTTAGAACACTAGTGCCCCTAGATGGCGCTGACAAATATTGGAAATTACTCATCAGCACCATCTATTCTAGGAGCATCCACCCAGCAGAACGTTTATAAATAAAGTGTTAATATATCAAAGGAATAATATCCACGATGTAAAAGAGGAGTAACTCTGCAGTGTCTATGTAGTACACCCAGCATGCAGAACAGAAGAAGTGATACTGTGCAGTATCCCTACTTACAAAATAAGAACAGATACTGAGAATTATCGTCCCCAGCATGCAGAACAGGAGAAGTGATACTGTGCAGTATCCCTACTCACAGAATAAGAACAGATACTGAGAATTATCCTCCCCAGCATGCAGAACAGGAGAAGTGATACTGTGCAGTATCCTTACTCACAGAATAAGAACAGATACTGAGAATTATTGTCCCCAGCATACAGAAAAGGAGAAGTTATACTGTGCAGTATCCCTACTTACAAAATAAGTACAGATACTGAGAATTATCCTCCCCAGCATACAGAACAGGAGAAGTGATACCGTGCAGCGTCCATACCTACGGAATAAAAACCGATACAGAGATTATAAATGTACTCACAGTGGAACAGATGTGGTTTCTTTTTAAAAGAACTCCAGGAAGGGGCGTGGCCGAGATGTGAAGCAGAGCGGACGTGTCTGAGGGAGCTCCACCGCCACACTGAGCTTCATCCGGCTTTAATCCTGCAGACTCGGTTCCTGTTCTTCACACCCGAGCTCCGGTGGATGTCCGGAGCAGGGGGATATGCCCTCTAGGTCTGGCAGGCGAAAGAACTCCAGGAAAACCTTTTATTAACCCTTGTAGTGGGTCTACCCCTGCACTGCAAGGGTTTACTGCTCGTTTTCTTTTAGGTAAAAAAAAAAGTTATACTCACCCGACGCTCCAAAATGGCTTGTTCTTAGACCGGTCCTTCCAGTGTCTCTCCCCCTCCTCTGCGGTGGTCTAAGGTCCCATAAATGATCACATTATATGCACAGTGTATTGATGTGAGGACGCTGGCTGAGGAAGATTCCAATGCTGCAGTGTAGGAGGAGACAGGCTGGAGGGAGCGCTGCGACAGCTGGCCAACTCAATACTTCGGGTGAGTAGATCTTTGTTGTTTTTGAACTTAGACAAGAACTAGTACTTAACCCTTGGAGTGCTGGGGTAGCCCCACTGTAAGGGTTAATACAAAGTTTTCCTGACGTTCTTCTTTAAGTTTCAGGCTTATGATGTGCTTCTTCGGACACTTCTGGGATTTGTGGAGGCTCTACGTTTCCCCTACATCACCAGTGCTCTTGGCAATGGCCGGAGCAACCTCACATGATCTGCATGGACCGTCTTTGCAGCTTACAGAAGGTGATGCCACGATCCTTCTGAAGAGATCTGGAAATGCTCAGTATCCCAGACTTTGGGAGAAGGCAATCCTGTGCAGGAACATATTTCTGTCATTTGGGATACTCAGCATTCCTATTGTATCACCGTAACAATTAAGCTGCCACCCTCACCTAGGTGCTGTGGGTGTTATCGGACTGGACGATAAGTATATTTTTTCACAACTATCATGTAGCATTTTTACATAGTGGGGCTGGATCTTATAAGCACATCATGGATTTTAGCTTCAATCTTAATATTCCTGGGTAGTGACAAGTTCTTTTCAAAGCTCACCACGCATCTTGCTGTACTATCTCCTTTACATCCACCAACAACTATGTGGTGCAATGGCTTGATTAGATACAAATTGATTGGATAGTTGAGGCAGGTCCTCACAGGGCAATGCCTCAGGAGGTACTTTTAAGTTCTCTACACATGTTACAAGATGATTGTACAATATGCTCTAACAACAAGTATGTAGCACACGGGCCTTCCTGATTGGATCTAAATTGAATGAATAGTTTAGGTATGTCCTCATATTACATAGTTTTGGTAGATTGTACAGAGATTGACGGTCAGGTTGTAACGTGTATGGTGACCTTTAGGGAGGCACTGAGGCCAGAGTGTCCATGGGACACAGTATAAGAGGTTACATAGAAACATTCAAATGCCAGCGGCCATCCCCATTACTATGGCAACACACTCACAATCCAGCAAACATGAAGCAGAAACAATGATAGGACCCGTTTTTGAATGTTTCAGCTTCTTGTCTGGTGGATTGTGGGTGGCATCGCATGGTAACAGGGACACCCTGTTTCCGAAACATTACCCATCCACAATCCACCAGACAAGAAGCAGAAAGCCGCCATCATAAGTATACAAGCATAAGATTAGGTTACCACCCAGGGCAGCCATTTTTACCAATGTGTAGCTTTCAGCTATACATAAGATTAAAATATGACCATATTTGTTAATGACTTGTGAATTGCGGAAAACTGAGGGTGGCACTGTGAGCACTATGAGGGAATTCATCAAAACTGGAGCAGACAAAAATCTGAAGCAGCTGTGCATGGCAACCAATAAGCTTCTCTCTGTCGTTCTCAAGTGTTAACTGAAAAAAACTGATTGGTTGTCCTGGGCAACTGCTTCAGATTTTCTCTGCTCCTGTTTTGATATGAATTGATCATTTAGCTGCAGCTGTAATGTGTCGTTGGTATTGCGATGTCGCCATCTAGCGGTAACTGTGCCATACTACACGCATCTTGCTAGTTGCCAAATACTTAATGCCTTGGACGCAGCGGCTGAACCAATTAACACATTAAACTTTAGATTATACAGTTTTATAGCCAGATTTATACTGCCACACTTAGTTCTGGCAGCCAACAAGCTGGCAAATACTTGCCGTAAAGCTTGCCGAAAACCAACACCACTACAAAGAGAGGATATGCTCGCTGAGCGGCCATTGGTTTGTAGCCTGGAGATATCACATCAATGAAGAAATGTACTCAACAAAATGGACGCTGAGCGGACGAAACTTTCAAGAAAATGCGTCCTCTACCATGTGCAGACATGCGCTTCTGTGACTGAAATGTTTGTTTTCAATAAAGTTGTTGTTGAATAAAATAAAGTAAGCTGTCAATGAGTTGGAGGAAGGTGGTTGTGACGGGGGAGGGGGCACCTGGTCTGTCTGTCTGATTGGGGGGCAGATCGCGGGACAGGCGGCTTGTACAGGTAATTATCGGTGCCACGAATTCATGTGTGTGCACATCTATACACCGAACAATCACATTTTATTGGGCTGGTCATAGATCGTTCTTATTGGTGTGATGGCATTCACAATGTTTGCATGAGTGTTTATTGCGTGTATTTCACAGTATAGTTGTGGTTTTAGATACATTAGAAGTGGACATTGTATAGATGAACACATGGTGGTGTCTATGGCCTAGGGATCGCAGACCATTGGCAACTATTAGCGATGCTGGCAAATCAGCGCTCTATGGGCTCGTGTAATTGGCTGCGTTCCTACGTTTGAAGGTAATGGCTAAATTAAGGGCTCGTGCACATGAGCGTAATACAATTCTGATCATCTACACAGGACTCTGGGAATATGTTTGAAGAAAGATCTGTGTAACAAAACGCATTAAATGACCCCCTAAAGCGTTAGCATTTCTACGTGTATAGACACATAAAGGTCTGTACAGCGTATGAATGCGTAACATTTGACTTCCATTGCAAATAATGTGTGCATATTAATGCAGGAGCAGAGCAGGTTTATGGTGTACACTGTATGTTTTTTGACGGCTGTGTGCGCAGAATAGGGGGAGTGGAGGCATTTGGGGTGCAATAGACCCCTGATGCCTTCATTCTTGTCACTGTGTATGTGCTATTACATACAGGTCCTCTTGTGATAGCGATGAAGTTGATGGAAAGTCATAATATCAGCAGTGGCCACAATGGTTGCATGTTATGGGTGGGTGGATGCTGTCTGCTAGCGGTGCAAATTACTGGGGGTGAGGAATTGGGTGTTGGCAGTGCACGGTACTTCCCTATGGTTGCCAGAAGCTGGGCGGGACACCAGCCGGAGCATCCCACCCAGCTTCTGCATACCAGTGATGACAGTGAGCTGGGCGGGATGCCAGCCAGAGCGTCACAGATTGCTAATTGCTTAGCAAGCTGGGACATGCTTGCCAAAAAGGGGGCGGCACACCTGATGGCCCCACCCCCGGGGGCAATGAGATGCTGTTGGAGGCAACTGCCTTAGGGTGCCTGATTATAGGGACAGCCCTATTTATCATTCTGTGATGTTTATTTATTTAAGAACGTAACCGCTACCCCTCACTGCTGGCCCTCTCCCCCTTCTCAGTGGCAGGAGATGAGAAAATCATGTGGTTCTGCACCTAACAGTCTCCTCTTCCTAGTAATTAGCTTTCCGCTAGCTAAAAAAACAGTCATGCCTAAAAAAGCCCGGGGAAAAAAAGGTTTAAAAAATGCTGACATTCGGGTGTGAATTGGTCCCTAGATTGCATTGTAACTGTGTCCAGTTGAAATAGGATCTAATGTGGGCAGTGTAGGTTTCTCTATTAATGGTGTATCTTGTATTAAAAATCAGACTTTGCACTTCCAGTTCTCTGACCGTTCCTGAAAGCAAGAGTGGAGGACGGAGGAGGGGAGAAGCTGTACCTGTCTGTCAGGACTGAGCGTTGTCAGAGCTCAGACCTGATAAAAGCACATGCGTGCTACGAACAAGCGTCTGGCGTACCCTGAATTTATTCATACGTGATTAAAGGAGAACTAGAGCCTTTTGTTTTGTATTGAGCAGGGGTAGGCCACCTTGGCACTCCAGCTGTGCTTAAACTACGGCTCCCATCATGTCACTGGAAGCCATGTCTGGGGCTGTCAGAGTCTTGCAAAGCCACGTGGGACTTGTACTTCCAAAACATATGGAGTGCCAAGGTTGCGTACCCCTGGCGTAGAGTAAGGGCTCATGCACGCGGGTGTACTGCAGTGCAAAATCTCATACATTGTAAAATGTGTCTGTATTAGTGACGCCCGGTAGCGGCAGCTGCTGCGGTCTTCTGTCTGTAGTAGTGTATGGACAGAAAATTGATTACTTTCCTTTCCTGGTACCTACACATGGCAGCATACCTGTGGTAGACGGAGCATCATCCACAGGTATGCTGGCATGTAAGCACCACGAAATGCTTGTACATGGGGATAAGTTGCCAGAGGCAGGAGGTTTGCATTCAGAAGCTTACCTCCATGTTGACGCAAACGCCAGGGAATCGAGACTCGTAGCGCATGGCCAGCTTTACAATCCAATATGGCAGTGTGTACATCTGATCTACTGTGACTGAGGTTGATGAGAGTTTTCAATTTCAGATTAGTGATGTCATCGCTGCTTTGTGTCCTGCATCTGAGAGGCTCCAAGCTGCATGATAATGCTTCCGAAAGCAACATAGGGGAAGATTTACTAGGAAATGTTCACCCAAAAAGTGCATTTTTACTTGGTGAATGAGGTGAAGATTCACTTTGCAGAGAATACCCAATACAGTGACATTTAAAAAAAAAAATGTATTTTTGCATGTGCATAATTGAATTCAGCACAACTTCAGCTTATTCACTAAACAAAGTGAATTTTCTCTCTAATAAGCCTTCTTACTTCTGGGATCTGGTCCCCGGGTCAGAAGCACTTTGGTCAGCATGTTCATGTGACCATGCTGACCGATGAGCACTCACCATTTGTGAGCATTCTATAGTATGGTGCTCGTAGGTCTGGCTACATGGACTGGCGCGGACATTAGACATGTAGGTGCACAGGTCTGTGGGAGGTGGCGGGGTGCTGTGGGTAAGTCCAGTTTTTTTCAGTTTTTCATAATTTAAGTGAACTTACCCTTTAACCTTTTTCAATTTGCAAAATAAATCTTCACTTTTTCACCTCGTTTGCTAAGGTAAGTGAAATTTCACTTTAACCCTTTCGCTGCCAAGGACGTACGTCGTACGGAGCTACAAAAGTGCTTCCAGCTGGCCAGCTCAGTACGTCGTACGGAATTGGGATTAAGAAATATTGTCTAAATACAAGAGATGTTTCTTAAATATTGGTGAGCTTTCGGTATTTCTTCCAGATCTGTGCAGTAATCCAGCGTGAAAGTTTGCCTCTGTACGAGTTTCCTGTAATAAAAAACAGTCACTGCTGTTCTCTCTCCTTGTGCACGGTGTCTGGCCTTGTCTCCGCCCCTTCCTGTAGTTTTCTGCAGGCAACCTGTAGTGGGTGGAGCCACTGGTCCCTCCCCCAGCTCTGCCCACTGCACAGGCTGTGTACAGCCCAGTGAAGATGTCACTGCTACTTTTTATATGGCAATATCTGGCTTTCATCCTGGAGTCCATCTTTTAAAAGTGAAAATGCTCTACAACTTTAGTAAATCAGGGTCAAGGTGTCAAAAATGTGACTACAGCGTTAATGTCTAGAATCCTAATTCATGAAACAAACGTGTATGAGATTGGAGACTAAATTATTGCCCCTCAGTAACTCCTCCATTGCTATATCAATAGGTGTGAGTCTTTCTCTATACCCTAAATGTATTTGAACCCAAGGACAAATAAATGTAATATAGTGCAGTTTGCCAGTCCTTAGATGTGACGGTTGCATTAGTTTTCATTTCAGCCTTTTTTCCTCTCCTTTTTATCTTGTAACCTTGCCTCTTCTTCTTGGGCTTGGGTGAGAACGCTTACTTGTTGTATTGTATCTGTGGAGGGAAAGTGTGTTAGGACTACAGAACACCTCCTCATCCATCTGGTGCTCTGTAGTTTTAGAGGTGAACTGGACAGGGCTGAGAAAACTACACAGCACTGGATTTCTGGCAGGATCAACAGTTTTTTTTTCTCCACTTGTCAATCAGATATAGCACAGTACATATAGCTGACCAAAAAGGAGCAGATAAGAGAATGTCTTTGTGTTACGTCCACTTTAACCCCACTGATTTGTTGTTCCTCCACTTTTGTACATGATCTTTCTTGAATTTCACTAGACACAGTGTCTTGCTAAAGTGCAAAAGCACAATAAAACATAAGAGCCTATATAGAAAAAAATCCATATGATCTCGCCCTGTTTTATTCTTTTCTAGGTGAATCTCCATAATGTCCGCCTTTCGCTCAGGGGTTCTGGTCCTGACTTCTCCTCTCTCTGCCTTGTCCGTGAAGCTGGCGCCCATTTTAGCCTCTGCAGCAAAGATTGTCCAAGACACCCTTTATATTCACCTCCAGCCAGGACTCCTCCTCACAGGTTCATCTCAACCCAGCTCCACCTACATTCCAGCCACCAACGAAGTCTGCAAGCTCATTTCTAAAGTGTATTCAGACGCAGATGTCCACACTAATCTGGATGTCCGTGTTCTTTTAACCAATATCAAAAACCAAAGCAACAGCCAGCAGATCCTCTCCTCTGTGCAGAACCTCTCCCACCCTCCAGAGGTGGTCCTCACAGACTTTCAGACCATTGATGGTGGACAGTACAACCCTGTCAAACAACAGCTGGAGCGATATGCAACAAATTCTTATAGTTGTCATCCAAACTTAATATCAGTATTACTGTACCCAGATTATGAACAAGCAGAAGATGGCAGCCCTGAAGAACCAGATGGTGGAGGAACGCTACTGCGGAGTCACAGTGATGTTGTGGTGGGCGGAACATTTGATAGGTTACACAGTGCCCATAAAATCCTAATGAGCGTTTGCTGTTTGCTGTCGGAAAGACGTCTTCTCATTGGTGTTGCTGACAGAGAGCTTCTGGACAGTGAGTAGAATCTTCATTGTGTTCAGCTGATCATAGATGGTCACATCTTTGGTCTGATGCAAAGAAACATCAAAAATACACACAGGCTTTCTAAGAAATCTCAAAACACTATAGTTCAAGGGGAGCCAAAGTTCTGCCCTCCAGCTGTGGTGAAACCACAATTCCATCTCGTACATGATGGACGCCTGCAAAGGGAGGAGGGAATGTTCACCCAGCGAGATAAGGTATGCCCCCGGGTCCCCTCCTCTCTTATGCAACTGTCGGGCCCTTGGCATGACAGAGCGCCTGACTTTTCAGAGGGAGTGAAACCAAAATGACTGCCAGTCATTTTGGTGTCACCCATTGCGGGCCGCACCCCCTGGTGACGCCACTGATGTATCTGCCTATTGGAGTCTTGCCTGTGGCTGTCAGTATTACAATGCCTTATGGGACTTGTAGTTCCACAACAGCTGGAGGGCTGATGTTTGCCTTCCCCTGCTATATAAGATTACCAATGTATTCCTTCCAACTTTTGTAATGTTTTCTTTTTGAAATAATTTCAGATTTTCTTTTTCCTTTATCCAATCCCCTTTCCCCCCCATAGGTCTGGATTTTGTTTTTCTTTCAGAGATGTCAGATTTTCACCAAATACTTTTTTGCATTTATATTCTGTTTCAGCATATGCATTTGGGGCAGGTAGGTGCAAAATATAGAATATAAAACTGTCAAATCACCAACAGAACTGTCCATGACCATATTGCCAGATTGTGTCCTCAGTAGTATGGGGGTGGATGGTGTTGAAGGAAAAATATGAATGGAGAATGTCTGCACAGGCGAGGTGCTCCAACTCGCATTGCCTGCATAGCCTGCCTGCCTTTGACCCTACATTGCAAGACTACTAGGTCAGTAAGTGCTGAACACCACTGCACCCGACTGCCTGTTGCTGCTGACTACTACACATAGGAGCATGCTGAAGCAGCAGATGCATACAGAATGCTTCTGCTTTAGTGTTGTGAGTCTTGAGTACTGAACTTGGGAAAGAGCATTACAGCTTTGTCCAGGCTCTCCCGTCAGCAATAGATCACTGCTATAGTGATCTATTTCTAGCTGATTACAGCCAGCAATAGATCACTATTAGAAGTGATCTGCTGCCGCCCAGCTGCATGGGGGGATCCATTCTGGACCAGGTCTTTAATAAACAGATCCAGATCCTCCCATGAAAAGAGTGTAATAAAAAACCAAATTGTGTTTAAAAAAAAAAAAAAAGCAAAATAAATATACAGTATTATACAGTTTGATCTGGATGTCATTTACGTTCACTACACAAGCATCAAATGTTCACAAGAGTGAATGCAATGTCATTTGAATTTATAACGAACAAAAACGCCTCTGTGCTAATTTGTGCACTTTTTGACCGGACTTAATCCAATCTTGGTATTGTGCTAACAATTTACTCAAACCATTTTTTTTCTGCATGTCACAATTTAGGAGAGTAAAGCTGTTCTAAAGTAACGTGTATGTATGCTTTACCATCCTCCTTTGTTACATAAAAGTCGCACTACGGTGAAATTTTAATCAGCAGACTTTGATTATATTTTGGGGTCAATGTATGTGGGTGTGCAAATTATATAAACATTGTGTAGGTCAACATTACAGGAAAATTAATTTTTCTTGTATTTTTTGCTATTTATTCCCAATAAAAAAAACAAGAAAAAAAAAAAATATCCAAATTGAAGCCTCATCTGGACCCCCAAAAATGTTGTATAATACATTGGGGTAGACTAAAAACACAAAAAGATTTAACGTGCGAAACCAAGACACCATGGAAAAGAATACATTCTGGGGCTTAGGGGGATTTAAGGAGGAAAATGCATGGGGATTCAAGTGGTTAAAAAACATAAGATCTGTTTGTTTGTTTTATTATAGTAAAAATATTCTAATGTGACAGCTTCAAAAATATCTATAATTTATTTTATATTATAATCCCTGCAAGGGCCACAGGGATCCTTTAATACACTGGCACCCACAGGTACTGCAGTGTATTACAGCGTCTTCATCCCCGTCTACATTGTAGTGTGAATCCCATTTATTTGTATGGCCCCTGTTCACACCTGAGTGTTTTCTCTCAAGCAGAAAAATGTCTGTCGCTGGAAAAAGTACACTAGCTACTTTTTGCCAGAATGCAGCACTTTTGGTCCCATGGACTTCAATGGGAGACTTTGTGCGACATCACTTGCGAAAACGCTTGAAACGTGCATTTCCCATTGAAGTCTTTGAGATCAAAAAGCGCTGTAATCAACCCGTCCTGCCCATCCCCTCATGCCCCTTGTTCCCTGTGTTGTGAACTATCCATATCCTTCTTACTACTTCCTCCTTCTTCATCTCTTTCCTAGTCTTTTCATCTACTTCTGTTTCTATCTCATTTCTCTCCCCCCCCTCCTGTTCTCCATTTCCCTTCTACGTTACATTTTGGGTTGTCTGCTTTGATATTTTTTCTGTATAACATTGATTGGTGGCACATTCTCATTATTACCAATTGCTTATTTAAGCCTGCTCACTACCTATGATTTATGTGGATGTTTACATGTTTGTGTGTTACATACTCAAAATCAAATTAATAATATGTTTTGAAACCAAAAAGTAGCTTATGTACTTTTTCCAGCAACAGATGTTTTGGTTTTTTTTTTCTGCTTGCGACAAAAACGCTATGGTGTGAACAGAGGCCATAGAAGTGAAGGAATGTTTTGTTGCACTCAAGACAAGTGAATAAAATTCCATGTCTTGATCGTTTTGTCATGCTTGGCTTTGAGCAACAAAACACCCTGGTGTGAACGGGAGCGTCTGGGTCCCTGCTACAGGCGCTTTGTTGAGCGATTTCCCTGTGCTGTTAACACACAGAGAGTTGCTTGCTGAGTATAGCGGCCATTCAGAGGATGCCTAGTTTTTCTCAATGGGCACTAGGTGTTCTCTGATTGGATGAGGGGCAGAGACATCATAGCCAAGAGCATTGCTGTGCCTTGTGGTGCGCTGCAATGTATGTAAATCGGAAGTGCTTTGGAGCGCCATTGAAAGTGAATGGCACCATAACAAGCTAGTCTGAAATTCAAACTCTTAAGTGCAGCTTTAACTGTGTGTCTTTTCATTTTCCAGATAAGATCCTGAAGGAGCTGATTGAGCCTTATGAAACGAGAGTTGAGAAATTGGCCGAGTTCCTTGTGGATGTGAAGCCCTCTCTTTTATATGACATAGTGCCTATATCCGATCCTTATGGCCCCTCAATAACTGATCCAGACCTGAAATGCATTGTGGTCAGTGAAGAGACCCACAAGGGAGGACTGTCTGTGAACAGGAAGCGTCTAGAAAATGTAAACCCAGAATACTGCCGAATGATGATTATCTTGATTTGCTGCACATTTTGTTTAGTTTGTATATATTGTTTATTAGTGGACAAATTCAGGATTTGGGCAAGGCTCCTAATAGCCAGAAAAGACCATTTGAAGGAAATGTGTAGTGATTTATTTTTTTTCCTTTATGTTCAATACCAAGATAAAGAACAAAAATGTACCTTTTTAATCAGGAACCATGGTCAGCTGTTTATTTTATTTTTTTCTTTCTTGCAATGTCTGTGCCATTGCAGAGCTTTTCCTTAATTTCCTGTCTGATAGCCACAACAGGAAGTAAAGGAAATCCCTGGTGGTCTGCACGCTCACCAGAACTACTGTCCCCATTGGAAGATTTCCCATCTATTCCTGTTCTGGTGACAACCCAAATTTGGGAATTTCTTTCACTTTAAGTGATAACGGTCACTAGGACAAATTGAGGGGATGAATCTCCCTAACTTGGACACAGATGGCAATAAAAACCAGACAGGTGATCCAATTCCTCGCCCACTCTATCTAAAACTTAAAAAAATTGTCTTCAGTTGCATTTAAATATATCATATTTACCACTTGCAGGCAACAGGAGGCAAGCTCCAGACAAAAGCTGTCTGTAAACAGATTTAAAGATCTGCTGTGAAATATACCTGAAGAGCAGGGGAGATCAGATTACACAGACTTAAGAATTTGTCAGATGAAGGACTTACTCCATTATACAGCAGCTGGTAATAAAAATGCTGACTAGGCAAATCTCAACTTTCTATGGAAAAGTTAAACTTCCCCCTGAGCTTCGATATTGCTTAGTGAGGCCACCTGTTATTTGACTGGACCTAAAGCTTATGTTAAGACCCAACTCTGGTACTTATACAGAAACTACCTTTGTAGTGCCACACAGCTGGCACTGCTAGGGTTAAATGCTTGTTAAGTCTAGGAGGTTGAGCAAGGCTTCAGCACTTTCCTCTTCTCCCTGACATTCCGGGTTGTAAGTGGTCCCTCGCCATCCTCCCATACAATGCAGGACTATTGGCCGTACATTATATTTGATGTCAGCGTGTGACCACCAGCCAAATGTCTTAGAGAGGAGACTTTGGGGGGCCAGTTGCAGAGATGGAGACAGCCTGCCGGAGTGAGGAATATGGGAAGTATTAACGCTTGCAATGTTATGGGGAATCCACCGCAATGGTAGTTTTTGTGAAATTCCCTAGTGTGTATGTGTATTGTTAACTAAAAAACAAACGTGAGGGCGCAAGGCTAGAGGGACTATGAAGCTGATTGAAACAAAGTGAGGGAAGCAAGAGGAGATGGATCACTTACTTTTAAGTGGGTCTCGGAACCGGATGGATGTGGAACAGTGAAGGAAATCGTGGAGTCCAACGTAGTGCAATCAGTGAAGGTTAGTGTGTTGCCTTGGGTAGCTCATCACAGGAAAATGAGAAGAGAGGGGTGGACAGGGGTGCAGGTGATGGCACACACAGTGTGTCCGTGTCCCCGCTGAAGCAATGTGAAGTGCCAGTGATGTGAGGACTGACGTCAGGAGTATTGTTAACTGTGGTGCTATGGACTGGCAATTTGCCTTAATGACTCCAGTCCCAAGTCTCGCACATTTATCAATAAAGGACATCCTGCCACATGGGGACATGTTGATGAGGTGGGTTTTTCTTCAGTGTTATTTCTG